GTTTTTTGTTTGCCATTAGTTTATAATAATGTACTCAATAAGATGATCCATGTATTAATTATATTTTTAAAAATAAATTAAAATGCTATTAGTATTATCATATAAATTAATAAGTTTGTTTGTAATTGTCTCATTTAAATTATAAATTTGATACATTACTAATTAAATCTATAGATGTAGTTCGAATATTTAAATTTAATAGGGTACAAAATTTTAATTGCAAATATAATTAATGCGGTAATAAAACTGCGACAAATTATTATACTTTTAAATAATTAAATTATCATTAAAATGTCTGTTACTTTAAAATCATAACAGAACATGCTCGTAAAAATCAAATCAATTTGCAAAAAATTCTCAACCAGGATTGAACGAATATCATTTTTTAAAATTAGTAAATTATTCTTGTGGATATATTTACAATTAATGTTAAAAAGTTAAATCCTTTATTATAATTATTATTGAGTGGTTGTAGTGATCTAAATATGGCTGATGGCAATTCATCAGTAGTTATTGGTGTTGCAGGCAATTAACTATAAATAGCTGTTGATGTTGTTGCTGGTATTTTGTAAATTATTAATTGAAAATATTTGGATGTTGTAATTCAAACTGTTATGGCGAACTAGCTGGGAATATGCTTGTCTGTTTTTGTGGCTACATGTTAAATTTATGCTGCACTAATTATATTAATAAGATTTATAAGCCTTAATATTATTGTGTTGTCTATATCTGAATTACACATTATTTGTCACTTCTTAATATTAGATTGTCTTTATTACTGTTTCTACAGCAACATAATCTATCATCGTCTTCATTACTTACCGATATATTTTTCCTCTATAACTTGAGGAATTTGCTCTGTCACTCTACTGCATAATAGTCTCACATTTATAAGTAACATACTCTGTCCTTTGTTTAAGGAATAAACTCTATTCTAAACTACCTTTTTAAAATCTAACAACTCTTTAATATTAGGTTTCAAAAATATCATCTAAATATAAATATATAAGTATTTATAAAAGAAATTGAAAAATTCTTAGATCTTATTTATTTATATAGTGAATGTATATATATTATTTCTACATCTAATTTCAAATTAACTTATTAATAAGGATCAGAATTCAGAGTTCTAGATAATTAACTATAAATTCGTTTATTATTGGAATTACATGATCAGTTAGTACTTTATAGTAAAAATCTGTATCACTTTAATATATTTCTTTAGAATTTTCAAACTGCTTGATTATTTTCAATTCCATTATTTAGTCAATTATGTTTTGTTTCTAAGATTTATCCATTTAAAATTTAAAATATGGTTCTAATTCTACTTTCACTTAATCATATTGGTGAGCATATTACAAGCCTCTTGATTTAATAATTTTTTTTTTCATGATAATTTGATAACTGTTTTTAATATTTCTGTTATTCTTTACTCTCATCTGAACCTTGGAATTTTCGATTCTTAAAGTTGATATTCATTTCATGAATTTTTTCAAACAAAAATGTCCAGTTGGTTTTACATATTCAGTCATTAAGAAAATGTTTATATTA